TTTACCTATTTGGTATATTATAATATTTAACGTTTTTTCTTCTTGCATTTGATGTAATTTGCGATTTTTCCAAAAACAAAATGGTTATTTTCATATTAACCATATTTTGGTAATTTTAATATTATTGTGCATCTATTTTACGGATTTTAGTGCAAGAAGTCCCTATCTCTTGTAGTTAGTATATTAGTATACCTCTGTCAATTCAGCCAAATTCAAATTTGAATTGCCTAAATATTGTAAAAATTATTTTTAATATTACATTTTATACAATTATATCATAATCCATTAATATATCATAAATGTTAGGTATATAAAATACAAATGAAAACTGAAAAAATGTATGTTATAGGTACCTTGGTACCTATCTAATTATTATCTAATATACCTAGGCTTGTGTTTGAAAAAATAAAAAATGTTAATGCCTATATTGACTACAAACCTACCTATTAGTATTTCAATCAAATACTTCTACGATTTCGATTTAAAGCAAATTATAAAGCTTGTGCAAATGCAAATAGAATACACATTATTGATTATAATAATACTTAATAGCACACATTATTATGACATTAATTATTAGTCCTGTTTCAATTTTTAATTTGATTTTTTTTCGTAAAATAATAATTATAGTGCAGCGAGAACTATAGACGCCACTGCGGTTTTCCGCTTTCGGGAACGATTACCAAAAAAATTGTTCTGATTTTGTAAAAATTCCGATCATCACAACACCACATATCGATGTAACTTAAAAATAATTATTTTTAAAGAAAAGCACCAAAATAAATTAATTTCACTCGTTCGTGGAGAAAAAACAACGGACATACACGTTTAACTGTTAAGAATTTATTAGGCCCATATTGTTATATAATGCACCAAGTATTATGCTATCGTTAAAATATTATTATATCAATATTTAATAACCCAGGTATTGGTTTTAGATGTCGTGAGCACGTCACGTGCACGTTTACGCATAACACTATATTACTTTTATTACTATATCACTATATTAGGTACTTATTAGACGAAAAATAAACATGTCCGAATGCAATAATAATAGCAAATAGAGATGCCACGCACATATTTTGTGTACCTACTATAATATAATATACGTCTATTAATAGCGATGTAATTATGTAACTTACAGACAATTTCACATTTTTTATCCTAATCAAATAGTAATAGATACTTAACAACTAACAAGTCGAAATCGAAACTAGAATTATTTTTTTTTTTATCATTATTAGTTTTCATTATATCAGGTAAAATTAATAATAAAAAGTCTTTTTAATATTATAAAATGAACCTATTTAAAATTTGATTTGATATTTTGAATTTTTTCAACCCAACGTTGGTAATGTTAAAATTTCACTCAGATTGAGCAGTTGTAGTCGACCATGAATTATGGTATTGTTATATATGACATTTGATTTAGGTACCTACTGGCCAATATAAGTGTAATAATATTTTTTTAAATTTAAATATTCTGATTATACACTAATTTAGTCTAATTTAAAATAAGATAAAATATTATGAAATATAAACATATAATGGTATAACATATTTAAATGTTGAAAAGAATTCTGCTTGCATGGCTGTCATGTATCGTGTTTATATACAATATTATAATGATCCATGACATTTGAGAAGTGCGAATCTATGCTCGAATTCATTACTACATACATAAAGTCACTCATTAGAGTTAAGCGTACCACTTGTACCTATTTAATAATATTTATATACTTACATTATCTAGCAAAGTTCATTCAATTGATTTGGAACTACAAGTATCGTGAAACGAAAGCAAACTACCATTATTAAATAAGAACGATCGGTATATTATGTACCTATACCTGGGTATATACCACACATACCAACTATCTATATATTATAATATATTTATTAAAAATTCATGAAACCTCCACATGTGCTAATAATCATGTTCCAAGAATACATATCGGAGGCTACTGTAAGTCACGTTCACTATTTGTTTCATTTTATGTACAATATATTATAATATATTATATTAGTGTAATCATAATACAACGATATAGTTTTGATTGGTTAAAAACTTTTTAAACTATTACAAATAAAATTAAAGTGTTTATTGAATATTTATTTAAATTTAAAAAATACAAATACAGGCGAAGTTTACAAAAACACAAACGTTTTCTAAAAAAAAAAAGACTTTAAGAACAACAAAAAGATTTTAATCCTTGTTTTTGTGAGATATTTGGTATAATATGTAGAATGTGCCTACCTATATGGACCTTTTGAGGCCATCGATTTGTAAATAGTCAATTAACGGCTGAAACCAAGAATAAATTTCGATCTTAGCCAATGTTTTTTCAATTGTACATAACAATGGTCATTAAGTATAATAATAATCATTATGTTGATTATTTGTATTATTATCGTGAAGCAGAACAACAAATATCGATATCAAATTATAGATAAGATAGACAATTGTAGGTACCTATTACTTATTATTATAAGCTATGATATATAAGTAGATAATGTCCATTTAACCTACCCGTAAGTGCATAAAAAATTTGTTTTTCAGGCAACGTTTAAAAATCGAAAGCATTATGTCCATCGAGTAACTATGTAACGTTATTCGATATGCTCTAATTTTAAACCTTCTACTAGACCCAATCATTCATTGTCCCTCGACCAAATGATTTGAATTCAATGAATATATAATATACCTATGACATGTATTCATGCATTTGAAGATTTTATTTTTTTATATGCCGACGTAATTTATTGGTATTTGGGTCAAAAGATACAGAACGAACGTAATATAGATTTATGCAACGAAAAATTATAAATTGGTATGTGTTTACTGATTAGTTATTACTGAAGAAAAAACTCTGCTCACCACCCTGAAAAATTGCTCACACTGAAGGCCTTAAAATGCTTTTTCAAAACGAATGTTTTCGATTTAAACTGTCAGACCGGTCTCTTCTACAACAGTATATGCGCTACGAACATATATATAACTCACCAATAAAAACGGTCTTGAGTTTTCACGATCCAGGTCAACCGTTAATTTTCTTTGTCGAAAACTATTTTTTGAATCACTATATACATATAGAGCACACACGAAAAACAAAGATTATTTCCACGCGTTCATCCTTTGTGGTTTTTCTACAGAAACTCGTCGGTGGTAGGATAAATATTTTATATTTATCATGTACAAGCTACGCACGAGATCATAAGGGTCTCATTAAAAAAAAAGCCCTCCTCCGCTCGCGCTTGTCCTATACACTCTAAACTCTGCTGCAGTTGGTACGTTTCAATTACGTCATACTATTTAGGTTGCGTTTAAGGTGCCGACTTGGTGTTTTTATATCTACGTCAGTGGGTTTGTGTGTGTGTGTGTGTGTGTGTGTGTGGGTGGGTGTGTTTGACTTCGACTGCAATATTTGTTTCATGTGATTTTTCAATGGTCGTCTCCAGGGGTCGCGGGTCGCTCCTTTCATATCGGTACATTATTATATAAACGTTATTAATCGTATCGTAGTCATAAGTTTTTTAATTATTTTATAATTATTGCTCGTCGTCAATGGTAGCGAGATAAAAAAAAATAAAAAATACTGCCAGGTACAGGTCGGAGCCACGTCATTCAACGACGGACAAAATTATTACAAGCAGTGCAGTTTAATGGATTCAAATTTCAAATAATAACTGCTTTATTAATACAGGAGGTGCATATCATTTGAAAATACGACAGATTTTGTCACTGGTAACGAAACAATAGGCGGACTACAATATCACTATTACTATTATTATATGTCCTACAGTCGTGTGACCGTTTTTAGCTCGGGAGCGAAACGAGTGGTAGTTGTTTACGTTTTTATTTATTTATCATTATTTTTTTATTATTTTTTTTTCAAACGATCGTGGGGGTCCAATATGTTTGATAACAATTGAATAATAATTGGTTCTCCGGACAAATACGATTTCATTTTAATAATAGCACGCCGACTTTGTAGTGACGTCAACGAAACACGCAATAAATATGTTACAACATATTTTACAGAGGCAAATGTTGTGCATTTTCTACTTGGAAATTTAATATTCAAAGCTTCGTTAATATTATAAATAACGTGTAACGACGTGCAATACGAGTCACAGTGTCACATCGATCTAGGCCCAAACCAAATAATGATCCACAATTAATTTTCGTAAAATTACAGTGAAACGTTTTTATACTTAACCGTGAACCATAAAAAAATGTCGACTAGGTATATAATTTTAAATCCATAAAAGAAAACCACATCAATCATCTCAAAACGATTATAGCAGTAATACAAATATGAATATGCATAAATTAAATTAAAATTAAAAGAACAACTCAAAATCCGTTATCATACCTACACTCAAAACCGGAAAGATAAAAAGTTTAAATGCTGAAATCCGGTTGTTGTATAGATTTCACCACTAATGTTTAGATTAGGTAATGATAAACGAATAAAATAAAGTCTGAACGATTTGCTATACTATATAAACAACATTGAATAGTTTAGGGTGGCCGTTTCTAACGGTAAAATCTAAATTATACTCAACTGCATTGGCTTTAACTTAAATGCGACCTACCGTATACGATATCCACGTGCAGATAAAGTCGAAGGATAATAATTAATTACAGTTGCACAAATTGTATTTATTTTAAATTTCGATGAATCAAGAAATTTAATTATTATAGTTACAACTATATTATAACCTCCCACCACAGTCGAAGTGAAAAATATTTCACTTGATAATAATTAATTTATAATTTTATTGTCCTTTGAGAAATTGAAAAAATGTTCACTACGTGTGGGTCTCCAAAAGTCACAATCGCCGATAATACTGTATTATTTAAAACAAATTTGTACATATTTCAATTTGGTATGTACCATTGCTATGTACCATATTTTACTAGTAAGAATATAACTAATGTCAATGTATAAATGTAGGCTAACGACTCCTGGGTCGAAGCCATTATTCGCACTCACCTCGTCGGGTAAGGATCTCTTCCAGAGCCCCAAAAGCTTTCCAGCCATGGCTGCTGGCTTGGCGGGCCTGCTGGATGAAATCTTGTGCCAGTCTTGTGCGAGCTTGTGCATCATCCACATGCCAGCCAGTCCCATGGCCGCCAGCAGAGCCAGTCTTATGAAATGTATGTGCGCCTTGACGGCGGCGCCCATCACCAGCACTAAGAATCCGATTATCGCGAATCTCATATTGGCCGTCACTGAGTAGGTACTTACTGAAACAGAAGATTTGTATATTGCCACCGTGCTCGTAATGTGATAATTAGATATTATATTAATAAGTTGTTTATCATCCATACATTTTTTTACATGATTTGAAGTCATTACAATTTAACCAAAATATAAAATTATTTAACTATTTGAATTGTTGTAAAATCTATTTTATGTTTATATTCCAAATAAGCAGAATATATGTCCCACAATATCGAAATAATAATTATAATAGAACAAAAATCAAATTTCTAACCTCCAACCGATCAGTTATATTTTAGTCATAAGTAGTTATTTAAAGTTTAAATTATTAGATTATTATTGACCAACATAATTTTGCGTGTAAATCCTTATAGCTATATTATTATAACGACGGTCGGTAGCACGCGGGCGGTAGACAAATATAGGTACTCACGGTATGTAGAAAACGAGAATACGAGTACTGGTGATAGTGTCACTGGTTGATTACGGTAGACCGAATACGAACGACGGAGTTGACAAAATGTGGATATAAAATTTGAATACAACCGCGTTTCGGCAAGATAATTTGGAGAACAGTTTTTACTTTTTTGGCTGGATATGCGGTGAGAACACTTGTTGGATTCTTCAACGGTCGAGAACGGATTGACGGTGTGACACAGTCGGGACTTCCTTTCGACGACGGTGCTGGTCGGGTTTAGCCGCCGCCTCCAGGGTAGGAGTTGGTGGCGGCAGCGGTAAAAACTTCCGGTTTGCCGAGACGCGTTACGAAATGACTTTCATTTCGCCCGGACTTTCCGGACAACTGTTGCCGGACATACCTATACCTATGTTAATACGATATGCGCCTATATAATATGTAACTTATATACCTAACACGTTGATTCATATACGTCTAAGCTATTGGTATATTATATTGTCGTAATATTCGTCGTACCTGTCCGTCGTCGGAAACTGGTTTTATGGTTTTGTTCTAAGCTCACTATATTAATAAATAATATAATAATCGGTTTTTTATTATTCGCCATAACATTTTTACTGTACACATACATTATACGCTTGCATTTTTTTGACACAGAAAACTCAATATTCCTAACACTCAACCTAAGCTAACTTCCTCCACCCACCCTACAACACATCAGCATTCGCTGTTAATCCTGCAGCCATTTCTAACGATTTAGTAATTTTTTAATACTTGGGATACTTAATTTTCATTTTAAAACTAAAACCTTATTTTAAATTTTGATTTCTTATAATAAGTGTAAAATAAAATAATGTTATACACAAATAAAAAATTTAAAATTATATACAATCAAGTAGTGTAATTTTAAATTGTACATACTCCTTTTGGTCAACACCTCTTTTCCAACCAATACGATAAATATCAGATTGAAATAGTTTATTATCGTCGATAAAAAAAAAACAGATAGGGGAAAGGGACTCTGCAAGTCTTAAAATCATTTCAGAAAGAAATTTAATAAAGTAGAAAAAAAATTCTATGGAAGAATATAACTAATTGGTAAAAAATTTAAATTTATATATTTATGTGACATTGCTTTGAACATGAATATTGTGTTAACCATATATAGGCATCGTTAGGCATAGGTTTGGAGTGGTTCAGGCATTTCACAGACATGCCATCGAATAGTATCTTGACAATAACTCACTCCATTCCAAATTATATTTCAATAGATATCAGCTATGTCATGCAGCAATATTTAAAATATTTTCAGAAACTAAAAGAAGAAAAGTATTAGGTATTAGGTATAAATGTTTGTTATATGGTAACCTAACAGTAACGTACATTCTATGTACTGTTTTCATTGGATATACTGATATATCATAATGAACTCATTACTCAACTACCAAAGCAATTGTAACTATTCGAAACTTTGCCTACTTGCACCTCGAACGTTATGCAATAAAAAGATCACCCTGTATGTAATCGAATATTTACTGACGACGAGGCTCAACACGCACGCTTGACGCGTTTTAACCGCAAACCCACTGTATGCTATCACAGGCTGCAGCAGGTATATTAATAAATAATAAGAATTTATTATATTATTATTATTACTATTATATGGTTACGCGATTTCACCGTCTTCGTTGTCGGTCAGCGCGTGTGCGAAGCGGCGACTACTGTCTCGTATTATAATAATAAAATATCACGAGTGTTATCCCGGAAACGCATTATTCGTATAAGGTACACGTTATAATAATATGATATAATAGTGTAATACTGCAACAATATGGTACAGCGTATATTACCATACAATATATCGTTGGAAGACATCACAATAATGGTGTATTTAATAATATTATAATACCGTTACGGTGCACGCCACCCACGTGTGATAAGACATCGTGTTTTCGAGTCCCCCTAGGAAAAAACGATTTCCTGATGTCGATTTCATTTAACCAACCCGTTTTCTACACAATTTGTATTTATTGCTCATGTATATAATATATCATAAAGCTATCTGCTAACGGCTATAAATAAGGTCTATTTTTTTTTTTTATCCAATTCTGAAGAAGCAGGTACCTACTATAGCAGGTTCAATGTTTATTGTCTAAGAAACTGCAGAAAATATATACATATAATTTACTTAAACATAATAGATAAAATTGATTTTTATGTAAATGTGGCTGTCATTTTTTATATGTATAATATGCATTTATACTTGAAAGTTTAAATCAATATTTAAATTTGTTATTTTAACTGTATCAATTAATAACCCTATGTTCAACATTAACCGTATACCTTTTCAGTATATAACCACGGCCGGATCTAAGATGGGGAAACCATTTTCTTAATTATTTTGAGAGGAAATTGAACCCGCCGATGTATTTTTCTTTTATATTTTATACATTAGTTATACAAAAATAAGCTATTTATAAATAGATCATTATATAATAATAAATAAGCTACAGTTTTTACGAAAGCAAATTTCAAGAAAATCCATAAGGAAAAGTAGGACATCTGGGTGTAAAAAATACAACAGTGGCGCAAAAGTGTATTATTTATTGGTTGTTATTGGTTAATCGGGGATGTTTGTTGATTTGTATTATTATTTTTTGTCAATACATTTATATATATATATATATAATCAGAGGCGTTCTCAGGATATTTCAATGGAGGGGGATGAAAAAAATGGTTTCAAAATAAGCCGTACCTAAGGGTTTTGCCTCACAACTCCCATATTATAATAATGAATATTAAAAAAGAGGGTAAGTGGATGTCACTCTGCTGTACAGTAGATTACAATACTTAGTCACTGTATAATGGATTGTATTAAATTTGAATTCAATGATATCATATCATTGTACACGAAAAACGATTCTGAGCGGAGACGGTTTGTCAGTCTGGATATTTTATATTGTAATTATATTTTATTATAGCCTGTAAGTTGAATTAATAATATTATAAATTACGATAAAATAACTAAAATCATTATTTTTTTTTTATTTGTTACAATGGTGATAAACAAAGTGTTAGAAATTGAAATCACATTTTTAGAGGTTTTTGAAATTTGTCGGTGAAATTGTAATGTGTCATTAAATAAATATTGAGAAAATTGAAAAATTACCTCTCTAAAGTACGTATATCATCTTGATAAAATTTGCTAAAAGAAAAGATATACTATATGTTAAAAGCGAAGAACTGCTTCTGGTAGAAATTTTTTATGCAGGATAAAATAAAAATAAATATAAACAATATTGAAAAACCAATAGATCCCTCACTCCGCTCAGAATCTAATAATATTGATAGTAATATAGTTGATAATATCAAATAATCAATTCAAGTCATATTTATTGTTCTTTTTATTTAAACTATAAAAGAATGTTATGAATCAGTTTAAATCAGGAATGGAAAATGTTTTTAATTTTTGCGTTTTCGTTTTTGATTTCGTAACAAATTTTTTTTCTGTTTTTGGGATTTTTTGTTATGGTTTTTTGTTTTTGTTTTATTCATTGTTTTCGTTTTTTTTTCCGTTTACTAACGTTTTTTAAAAACGTTTTCCATCCCTGGTTTAAATTATTTATTTTATTTTATCACTGTGGTGTTATCATTGTGTATCTTACCTTTACATTTTTTCTGACGCTGGGAATTTATAAAGTTGACGGAGTGATTGTTTACAAAAATACAGTACAAATCAATTGTAAAGCGAATTGCCTGTTACATGTTATAATTATCAGTGATAAATAATAATATTGTTTATGGCTGGTGGAATCAATAATTACGATAAAGAAAAATTGCAAAAAATAAAATAATAACTACCAAGTCAATATTGAAAACACAAACACATATCAAAAGTAGACAAAACGTGTATTACTAATATGTAAAAAAATAAAGAACCTTGGGGGGGATCTATCCCCCATATCCCCCCCCCCGTGAGAACGCCCATGTATATAATATATATATATATATATATATATATATATAAATGAATGTTTGTGTGTAGATTAGACCTTTGGGAAGAAGACAAGCTAATTTAAAAATGGTTAAATTTGGTTTTTTTTATTCATCTGATATTAGTACGGTTAGTTTAGGTTAGGATTTTGTATTAACTGATTATATTAATCTACCATAAATGGAATACGACAAACTTGGTATAACTTTGATACTTTAGAGTTAAATCATACACTTACGTACAAACATCACGGGGTCCACGATCTACCACAAGTACATTGCCTACCTGATAAAATACTGCTGCGAATCAGAATTTTTATTCCGGGCAACGGAAAAGTTAAGATAAATTTTGAGCACCATACACCGAATATTAAATAACGAATTGAACAAAGTTTGATGTATAGATTTGGTACATTTAACATATTATATAAATTTTGTATATAATATATAATATTGTATTGTATTGTATTTATTTTATTTATTTTACTACCTCGGTAGTGGACTTCGATTCAACCGGCACATTACTGAAACGACACAAAAAGCAAGACGCACTAGAGCCGCACTGTGCCCCGTACTCAATCGCCAG